TAATTTCCGGGAAAGCTCGTCCAGGATGCTGTCGATGTTTCCAATGCCGCCGTCCTTGGCACCGTCGACGTATTGGGCGAAGAACCAGTTCGCGACTGCGCTGGTGGGTGTGAGTAAGCGGGGATTCTTGCCATCGGGTTTGTGGAATCGTTTGCTTCGGGAATCGCGGGCAAAATTGGCGGCGGATGAGATGCCGGTGGCTAACTCGAGCCTGTTCAGCGATTCTTTGGGGTTCTTTGGGCGTGCACCAATGAAGATGTGAGACTCGCCATGGATTTTGATGAAAGCATCCATATCAGGCCATCGGAGGTCTTTGTGGGTGGGGCAGTTTATGACGAGGTTGTGCAAGAAGGCCAGTTGCTGCACGTCGTACCATTAAGTGACGAGACTCTGGCCAACAGACTGCATTCGAATGTTCAGATTGAACAGCATAAAGCCAGAGTGTTAGTATGTTCTTTGCGGCGTTTGTAGCTACTCTGTAAGAATTCGGGTAGCATTTGGGCGACTCAGGGCCAATCCAGTGAAAATGGGTGCCGGCTGGCTGAGTCTAGCCTGGCTCGATGAGAGGATGATTGAAATCAAAGTGGGTGGAGTTGTAACCAACGCGTGGATTGTTATGAACAGGTTGGAAGCTGGAGGTCACGTGGCTGCCATCCCGGTAGTCTGTGATGTATTATCCGCCCACTCTTCCCCAGATTTATCATCCATGATATCTTTGTTACTGGCACGATTTACTTGTTGATTTTTTGGTTTGCTATAACACGGAACCAGCTGAAAAGAACACTCGAGAATCGATATAATTTGGGTATTCATGAGATAGATGGACCGTAGGATCCACTGGCTAGGTATTGTGGCAAAGTGCGGCTCCTCGTTTTAACTCTCTGTCGTGTGTATTGGCTTTTCTTGTATTGGGTTATATAGACATTCTGGTCAGAGGGATCGCTGACTTCTGATCACTAAATGCTGAGCGTCATCGGCATCCAGCTTATATTAGTAATATACTTGATGCCACGGAGACTTTATCTCGGTGATTATTCATCATCGGCCCATTCAAATGTCCGATATGTTCGGTGTCTGGTGTCCCACTGGCTGGTTCTGCACAAGCTCGGTACCGTCAGGCACGATGCACCAGAACCAGTCCTTAGGTTACTGCTCAGTGCTCACATCTATCGGTCGGCCCACTGCTGAGTGGTCAACAGTCAAACCTTGGTGGTCCTAGACTGTCCGTTTTTCAATCTGATTGGGCCTATCTGTTGTAATCCGCGACGGCGCCCAGCCGGCATCGCCCTAACATCAGTTAGCGCACCGTACCATGACTCCCATGATTGGCTGGAGAGATTCCCCTGCTCCCCTGGCCTTGTTTTTCCGGGGTTAGCGGCCTGCACCGCACATATTTAAAGCAGTGCGAGTCGTGCCACCACCATTCTTCACCCCGGCCATGCCAATGTTGAATATGAAGACCGCCCAGACACACCCCATCACCAAGCCAGCTATACCCTCCAAAACACGGAAAAAGACATCGACGAGATCCCGAAACGGTTGTCGCACCTGTCGGTAGGTGTAAATTACCATCCGATTGACCCAGGACTGATCGGCTCCCATAGAGCTCGTCGGATCAAATGTGACGAAACCCCCGGTGCCTGTAACAACTGCACCCGCACCGGCCGGGCATGTGGATACGACGTGCACCGGCCCGTCTCCAAGGTCGGCACCGGGCTCTCCCTCCGGGCCGCCCTCACCACCCAGCCCCAGTGGATCATGACCTCGGATGAGCGACGGTGTCTGTCCTTCTTCCACCATCGATCTCTGCCACACCTGGTAGGTTTCTTTGATTCGCCGCTCTGGCAGAAACTCATTCTCCGCCTGTCGTCCACCGAACCTGCCGTCTACCATGCGCTCGTCGCTCTCGGTGCGGTCAGCCAAGCCAATGATATCCGAGGCCGTCTTCCCCGACCGGGGCAAAAGAAAGATCTGCGGAACATATGGTATCGCTTTGCACTAGAACAGTCCGGTCGGTCAATTGCACTCCTCACCAAGCGACGCATGTCGCAGGATCCCCAATTGCAAGAGGTGATTCTGGTCTGCTGCCTCCTGTTCACCATGGCTGAGTTACGCTGCGGGAACTTTGATAGGGCTGCCGTGCATCTCCAAGGCGGCCTCCGGATACTACAAATGATCAATGTCCAGCGACTGCCATCGGGGCTACAACTCACATCCGGCCCAGTCGACGAATGTGTTGTGGAGTCGTTCCTAGCCCTGCAGGCCGGATCGATGTATTACTTCCAGATAGCACCTTTGCGCTGCGATAGTGACTTTATCTACACCCACCCATACGAAACCCATCTTGGATGCTTCCGGAGCATCCGACATGCACGCCAGATCTGGGGCCCTCTTGAACACACCGTCTTTGAGTTTATAGCCATGTGCATGAGGACAAGCCGTGCCGAACTTGACGCCAATCACAGCACGGTTCATCACCAGCAACTCCGGCTTCTCTCCTACGTGACCCGATACCTGCAGCAGTTTGACGCCTTCTGCCTCGCCACATACGGCACCACCTCCTTCGTCTCTCCCAAAGGGGAAGATCCAACCAACTACAAAGAACAACGCGAGGCGGAACTGATTCGGATCACGTGTCTTTCGGGCTTGTTGGGGGTCAAAATTTCCCTATACAGCCCCGCTCACCCGCCCTCCAATTCTCACGTCCACGAACGGCTGACCCTGCTCGCAACCGTGGAAAATGCCATGAATAAATTCGACATAGACCCTCCAACGTTCACCGAAAACAGCGTCATCGCTCCAGCCCTGTATATGGCTGCTTGTGGGTCTTCGGACTACTTTATCCATTGCCAAGCGACCGATCTCCTGCGCCGTTGGGGGTCGCTGGAAGGGTTCCTCAGTGCGACGGTGAATGCCGATCTTCTAGACGAAGTCATCAAGGAACTCCTGGTACAGATGTATCGAACCGCGGCGCCATTGCCTCCGGGGGTGGCTTTTGGGATGGGCCCCGACGGCCGAGTAACTGCTCGATTGTCATATCGAGCGGGAGGGGTTTGGAAGGTACGGTTTGTGGCTCTCGAAAAGAACGAAGATCTAGCTAGTGATATTTTGGCGCTGGGGGGAGTTGAGGACTGGCCGGCTCTGCAAGCCTCTCAACTATTGAACTTTAATACTGAGGAACAGACCACGCTTGGTGAGGCCTCGCGTCCGACCAAAATTAGACATATGCCCGGTTTACCATTCTACATTCATCTGCCTATCCGGAAAAGGAACCCCTTACATTCTGATTGAATAGATAGGAATAGGTCCCATAATAGACTTTCTTCTATATCGATCATGTGATAGAGTTCGTAGTCTGAATTGAAGTTCCTCCCCTAACCAATCACACGCCTGTCCCTGAGTTATGCCGCATGCCCTAATCTAGTACCATAATCATATACCCCTACATTCCCAGTCCTAGCCATGGATACCCAAACCCCAACTTCAACCTCCCCAGGTAGGAAAGTGAAATCGACATGACTTGACGTCAACGGAACGCCTAACCATCCCCACATTCCAGATCCGGCCTGACAAGTCAACTCCCTTAAACAACCCACCTCCCACCTGGCCTGCCGTACCTCCCCCCTCCCACGTCCACTCCATCCCATCCATCCCTTTTCATCTCCCTCCCCTCCCCCTACCCCCCAGAATGAACCTCCTCCGCACCACCCTCTACAGCTTCCCTCCCCCCCCTCCCCGCACGCGCACCAAACCCCTCCAAATCATCTGCGTGGGTCTCCCCCGCTCCGGCACCGAAAGCCTCAGCCTCGCCCTCACCCACCTCGGCTACACGACCTACCACGGATGGGACATCGTGTTCGACGACCCCCGTTACACAGAGCGATGGGCACGGCTCGCCGAACGAAAATACTCCGACGCGCCCCACGGCGGAGCCATCCAGATCACGGCTCACGAATTCGACGTTCTCCTGGGCCACTGCGACGCGGTGATCGATACCGCAGCAGCGTTATTCACCCCTGAAATCATAGCCGCGTATCCCGGCGCGAAAGTAATCTTAAACACCCGGAAGGATGTCGACGCGTGGCATCGCAGCGCGATCAAGACGTTAGTAGAGGAAGGGGAAGATCAATGGGTGATATGGTTTTTGAGACTCTGGACGGCGGATATGTATTGGTTGTGGAGGTTGTATTTTACGTTTGGGTATCCGGGGTTGTTTGGGGGAGGGACGGCGAGGGAGGGGTTGGAGAGGTGCGGGAAGAGGGTTTATTTGGAGCATGGGTGGATGGTGAGGGGGATGGTGGAGAGGGAGAGGTTGTTGGAGTGGAATGTTGAGGATGGGTGGGGGGAGTTGTGTGAGGTGAGTGGTTTTTTTTTTTTTTTTCCTTTGGCTTTGGATGGATGGATGTGTTTTGTGTGTGGAAGGTGAGGTTGATGTTGTGATAGTTTCTAGGGAAAGAGGTTCCGGACGTCCCGTTTCCGAAGGCGAATGATCCGGCTGCGTTTCGACAACATGTTCAGGATCTTGTGCAACCGAGGATCAAGAAGGGCTTGATCAATTTTGCGTTGACGGTTACTTCGGTAGGGGCGGGGATGGCTGCTGTTGTGTTGGGGGTGAGAGGGAAGGTAGGGCAGAAGTTTGTCAATGGGGTTTCTGGGGCGATTGGAGGGTGGGTGAGATCGATATACTAGGTTTGAGCGAATACCCAAAATGATCTCGTCTAGATAGACGTCCGATCTCAATCCTGAATAGGTAATCATAAAAAGAAACAACTTCTTGAGTTACTGCCGGGGTTCGTATGAGAGCTGAGCATAAACAAAAATCGGGAATTCCGCATAGAAGCACATCAGGCAGACAGCAGACAATTCCGCAACCAATCAGCAGCGACACCCGCCATTAGATAGATGGACGATTAGATTAGATCTGTGGTTCTACACCATAAGGACCACGGCACCCGTAGGAAAACTGGCAGCGGGTTGGGTCCACCAGAAGCAAAAAATAATCCCCCGACCCGGAATCGAACCGGGGACTTTCTGATTACAATAGATATTACAGTCAGACGCCATGAACCAGCTAGACCATCAGGGGTTATGGTGAGTGTTCTCAATTTTTGGGTATATATCCTTGCTAGTAATGTAAAAGACAATGAGATCGATGATGTGAACAGTTGTCTTGCTCAGCTATATTTGCCAAGGGAAGCTGCAGTTTCTTGATCATGACAAGATTCATTTCTTGTTGATAGGTCACAAAAAACCGTCTAGACATGTGGAGATCAGAACTCTTCACTACCATCAGAGCATGGATGTATTGTTTATTTGGGGAAGTCAGGCTGCAGGACTAGTTTAGAACAACGCTCAAATTGGCAACATGAATAAAAGTCAGAACGCTCCATACAACCCCCCTCCCCTGTGAAAATAACAAGAATAATTCAAACCCCACCAACCAAGCTAAGCAGATTTCAACCTCCAATTTATCAACAACTCACTCAACTCCTCCGAATCCCATTCTGCACCAAAGGCTTCATAGTCGAAAAAGCATATCTCGCAATCAACCACTTACCCCCCTCCTTCTTCATAAGAAAAAGTTCCTGGTTGGCATGTGGCTCCGACTCCTGCGTGGCAAGAATCGTCTTCGTGCCCTCCGCCGTCGTCCTCGCAAACGCCCACTCGGAAGACATGACCACAACCTCCTCAATCTGGAAAGTGATGACGAGCTGGATTGTTGCGAAGATGCGTGTATACGACTCACGGAGAGCGTCGGTACCCGCGCTCGCAGAGAAATGCGGCGGCATGATGACTCCATCGGCGGTGTAGAGTGCCATTGCTTCCTCCACGTTACGGCTTTTCAGGGCCGCGCCGTAGGCGTGCAGGACGGCGATGATTTCTTGGGTGTCGGAGGATGTCACTAGAGTTTGGGTTAGTGTAGCTGGGTGGTTATGGCTGTGATGGCACTTACTGGTAGGTGCTTAGGGAAGGGTATAGAGATTTTATTTCACGGTAAGCAATTGGAATTTGCAGGTGCTTGGATTGAAGCATTGGCTGCTCTTATATGGTCTGGGTGTCGTAAATGGGTGTCCCCCACTTTCCTGGGTGGGGGTTCAACATGAGTAATGAGCAGAGCATGGTGCCTGCACAGATAGGTTGGTTTACTTCTTGTCGCAGTATCTATCATGGTAGTAATGATTGAATATGTAAGGTCACGGAGTAAGCATGACGCATCTATAGATAGTAGTAGTAGGATTGTCCTGCTATCCAATAGATATATACTATCTCTTCATTAGTGTTGAAACGGGATCATTTGTCTGGATTCCGCCTCACACATTGATTTCCTAACAATCCTCCTTTTCAAGGGGGCTAGGATGTAGACACTGATTCTTTTAGAGAATTAAAATCATTTAGTCCTTGCGAAGGCCCCCCAACCTCATCAAGAGTGGGGTGACGCCAGCCACATGACTGGCAGTGTCAAGCCACGGAACCACCGCCACACCATCTCTGCCTCAGGCCAACTAAGCAGCAGACATGATCATCTCTCTCGATCCACGGATGACTGGCTGACAAACCAAGGTATGCCACTAGCCCAATTTCAAGGAGGCGCGGACTCAATTCGAATCCACCCATGTATTCTCAGGGTCCAGTGGACCACCCTAGTGCGTAAGCAGGCTTGGCCGTAAGCAACGTGCATTAATAGCAACGGCCGTTCCTCCCCACAACCCTCTGAACTCTACCACCAACGCCATCATGACCTCCCGAGCGAATCGTCCCGCTTCGACGCCCGCGCACATCCGCCTGACGCACATGCCCCAGCAAGGGAACCTCTGGTCTGCCGAAGATGATTGGACGGGGGTGACCGATCGCCAACGACGAAGACAGCTGCAGAACCGGTTAAACCAACGGACTTATCGTATGACCTTGTGCCCGGGCCATTGGCAGGTACTAATCCTCACACAATAGGCATGAAACGTAAGGCCGCCGCCGCCGCCGCCGCCGCCACCAACACCAGGCTGGCGATAGAGCCCTCCACTGCTGCAACTCCCTCCATGTCAACCCAAGTAGTCCAGCGCACTGCCTACCCGCTCTCCCACGCTGCAGATCCAGAAGACACCGATCTCGACTGCCACCTCTTCCCCCCGGGGGCCGTGCAATACCGGCGCCAATTCGAGGCGATCGCTCACCAGAGCTTCCTGCTGGGCTCGCCCCAGATTGAGCATCTGGTTACCCTCCGCCGACTGAATGTCCACCGCGCGATCAACGAGAATATCCGCGCCATCGGCATGACCCCGGAGTGGACGAAGCCGGACGACGCCATCTCCATCTTCAACCTGCCGCTCCCAGGGCCGGGGAACTACAACGAGGAGCGGATCCCAGTCAGCCTGCGTCCCACGGTCATTCAACGGCTGGTGTCGCATCATCCCTGGCTGGATTTCTTTCCATTCCCCCGGATGCGGGATCTGATGATATTGGCTGGAGACAGTCTGGATGAGGATGACCTGTGTCATGATCTTATGGCGTTCTGGGATACGCACAACACTGGAGCAACATTGCTGGTCTGGGGAGAGCCGTCGGATCCACAGAATTGGGAGGCCACGGAGGAGTTTGTGCGTAAGTGGCACTGGTTGCTGGCGGGGTCGCCGGAATTGCTGGCGTCGACGAATGTTTGGCGCGCGAGGCGAGGGGATCGACCGTTGATGTGGCGATCGTTAATAAGACTTAATTAGCATACTGGGTTCAAATTAAGAAGTAGAGGCTAATCACTTTGATGGGCGGTTGTAAACGCTGGCAGAGACGCTAATGTGAGTTGCTTACGCCAATCCAGGGAACCGAGACCCACTGACCCGAAGCAGAGAAAGCTGTATGTTATAATAGTACACAGTCCTCCATCCCCCTTCCTCTACTTCTCGTCTGTCCAGATCCAAAATCGACTCATACCTGCCAACTACCCACCAAGCATCATGCCTCCCTACACTCACACCGGCCCCGTGGCATGCGACCAGGACTTTGACTCCAGCACCCTGAAAGGCAAGACTGCGATTGTGACCGGAGGTACTGCATACCCAACATCCTATCAAGATTGCATCTCCTAACAATCACACAGGTGCCAATGGCCTCGGTGAAGCCTATGTTCGCGCTCTCGTAGCAGCCGGGTACACAACCTCCACACCATGCATCATGTCCCAAGCTAACCCACCACACCAGCCTCAACGTCTGCATCGGCGATCTCGATATCAACAAAGGCCAAAAGCTAGAATCCGAACTCCCAGGGTAATCTCCCACTACGCCTTCAACCACTAAACCACCAACCACCACTAACCCTCCCAAGCACCAAATTCATCCCCTGCAACGCCGCCATCTGGGACGATCAACTCCGACTCTTCCAAGCCGCCGCATCCCTCTCCCCAACCGGGAAAATATCCTACGTCATCGCCAACGCAGGCATCCACCGCCCAGACGAAGTCTTCCAATACGCCGGAGCCGACCAAGAACCCCAGAAACCCGACCTTAGCATCATCGACACCAACATCCACGGCCCACTATACACCGCCAAGCTAGCCGCGCACTATTTCATCCGCCAGAATGGCCAAACCCCCACCCCAGAGCAGGAAGATACATGTCTGGTGCTCATCGGCTCGGGAGCTGCGTTTTTGGATTGTCCGCGCGCGCCGCAATACTGCGCTAGTAAGTGGGCGATGCGGGGGATTATGCATTCGTTGCGTCGGACGGCGCATTACTATGGAAGTCGGGTGAATGTGATCTCGCCGTGGTATGTATTTCTCTGTGTGGGGTAATGTGAGATGCTGGTGATGTTAAGTTAATGTGGTGGTAGGTATGTGAAAACGAAGATCTTATCTGAAGAGGACTTCGCCCATGTCACGAAGGTCGGGGTACAATTTGCCGAGGCAGAGGATGCAGGACGGTGTTTGTTGCGCATTCTCAGCGACACGAGCATCAATGGACACTCGTTGTTTGTTACGGCGCGGAAGTGGGCTTCCAGGGGATATATGGATTTGGATTTGGAGGATTATCCGGGTAATGAGCTGGTGAGGGAGATTCAGGAGGAGCAGATGTGGTCGGCGCCGGTGTCAGCGGGGTTGTTTGTTTGATGGTTTAATTGGGAGGGGGGGGTAGAGATAGTAGTGGGTGGGTTTAATTGACACATGGATGACTTTAAAGAGATTGTCGGTTGAGATGTCGGGTAACGTGCATTAGAACGTGTCGAGTTCCATCATCTTCTGTGGCCACGGATGTAACGGGTCGTTTCATGATCTTGGCTATACTCCGTAAGCCCTTGGGCTGTGCCAGGGTCTCCCAGGCAGCAGTAATTCCTGGCTCATGAATGGTGAAATGCCACAAGTCAAGCCACCGTGCCCAGGTCGAAGGCGAAAGCGGGTCCGCTTGGCGTAAGCAAGTGGCATTAGCCGCGGCACTAACAGAGCCTAAATTATGGGGCGGCTGACCGGTGTCGGCTCTCTGTTTAGATCAACAGGTCCTTAATGCCGAAATGTCCGGGTTACTGGGCTGAGAGGGTCCAATCGTGATAGCACGATAAGTTTAGTGGATGTTTTTTTCTTATCAATCATCTTTGTATGGATGAACTAGTCACTACGTGGACAGATGCCGAGTGTCGGCCCACAGCCAGAGCATAATCAAATCGTAGCGAGGGTCAAAAAAGAGACAGGATACGTCATTTGAGGCTATGCAGTACATCAATTGGATGTACTTAGTGCTGGGCAGTAGACTCATCGAAGTGCCGAGCCTGTCTCAATATCTGGATTGGTGCCGGTCCACATCCGGCTTCGAGAAGAAGGGTATGCTGACGCCTGGATAGCTTGGCTATGGATCCGTGGCAGTGAAGTTATGCGGTATCAAGTTCTGGGCGTGTGTATAGGAGGGTGTGCATAAATATATCGGCGTCATGTCTTCACTCAATGATGAGTCGGTTTGACTGTTGCAATCGTATCCAGAGCCGTGATGAAGATTTGCTGCCATATTTTATCCATTCTCTGCTTGTCTCTTTTAGCTTACAATGCTATAGGTAGGTAAAGCCAGACCTTTTCTGTGTCATATGCTGATCGCAAAGCCCACTCTGTACAT